GAAATACAGTACTGTTATGTACTTCTGGTAATCCTGAATTTTTAAATTTTTCTGTGAAAATTAAAACACCGTCAAGTATTTAAAAATACCCCGAAAGGCTAGAATAGGTGTTTTAAATTTTTTTTGGCAAATTCTAGGGTTTTGGCACAGTGCTGCTGTCGTACTCTAGTGCCAGCGCCACTGCCCACGATGGTGGTTCACCTCGGCCTAGTCGGTTTCAGTCAGTTTAGACTGATTTTGGCATGTTTTACGCGTAAACCTGCAGAAAAATGTGATAGGAAGTCTCAGTTGACCGAAAAAGGCTAAAAAAAATTGAAACTTATTGACAAGGGTCATCGAGTGCGGTGACTCTGTCTATTCTGCTTCGCGGGTGAGGTTCTTTTTTTACTAGCCTGTACCAGAAAAGAACGGTGAACATGGTGGTCACAAAATCACGTTAAATAGGAAACAGGAAGGGGGCATCAAAGAAGGTTTTTGGTTTTGGCCGCTACGGCTCGGTCGAGCTTTTCCCGCAGTTTCTGGCTCACCCATCTACCATTTGGCTCCGATTTAGGTATAGGGAGACTCGGGATCGAATTTCGAGTGGAAATGAAAAATGTTTACTTTTTTCAGCAGTCGGTAGTGGCTCTAGTGTAGCGGTGATGGTGGTCGACCTCCTTCTCTAGCATCTGGTTCTTTTCCCGATCGCCCTTTTTCTTCTTCTCCGGTCACCCCTTTGTCGGCTAGAGTTTTAATTTCTTGCAAAAAGGAGTTTAAATACTCCTCTCCATTTGATCCAGGCCACTTGTTTGAGTCAACGTGGAGCGAGGAGGGTCATTCGATGATTTCTCGTTTATGCTGATAGCATGGACGAATCTGGACTGTCCATCGCAATCAACCCCATTAGTCTGATCGCACCTAAAAAAAATCCATATGGGTCGTCCATGAGTGGGGGATGTGATCTGAACTGTCAGATTACCAGGCACGTGGATCACTTGCGTGACCTCTCGCGTGGTGCCGATGTCAGCGTGTTTGTCACACGACGTGTCCTGGTTCGTCGTGACTGCTGACTGAACCATCTCATTTTACGATTTTACCATATGTTTTCAATTTTTCTTTCAAAAACACCCATCTTATTCTCAATTTCACTCATTTTCTCTAAATTTGCTTTTAATTTCGTCTCTAATTCATTTTTTCTCAAAAATTTAATAACATTTAAACTACAATAAAATTTTTAACTATTTATATATAAATTTTGTAAATAAAAAAATCATCCCGGACCAAAATTTCGGACCCAAGTGTTACAAACGAAATAAAAAAATTTATAAAATCAAAATAAAATTGGAATTAGCAACCAAATAGGTTAAGTGTTGTGCATGCTACAAAGTTTATTAGGCACGATGTTAAAGATTATGTTTGGATTAATTATAAGATATTCCAAGAATATAAGTTGGTGTACTCTCTAAACATACTTTAAATATATACTAACAATTTATATATAGAAACTTATATTAACACAATATATGCAAAATTTTCCCTTCTATTAGATCACTTTATAATTATATCCAGAAGTTAGGTGTTAAACATTAATAAAATATACCAAATAGTTTTAATATATTAAATGCGGTTTTGAAACTAGTTATTAATTGAATTATATATTATATTTAAAGGTAAAATGTAAAATTAGGTAATTAGAAGGCAGTATGGCATATAAATGGCCTTGTACGAGCTCTTTTTTCCCATCACCTCTCTTCTTATCTTCTAACCAAACCTCCCTCTGTTAGTGCCAAAACTTTCATCAATATTTTCATACTATATATATATATATATATTATTATGACCAAGTCCCAGCTACATATATAGTATATATATCTACATATCTTTTCTTGGATCTCACAAATTAATTATTGGTCTTCAAGTTAGTACAGAAAATAAATAGTTCTAAAAGAATTTCTGCTTGTTGACGTTATATATATATATATATCTATCTATCCTTGTATGGTATTTGCATATATATATATATATATATATATAGTATTGGTGAAGAGTGATGTGGAGGTTGAAAATTGCAAAGGGTGAAAAAGAACCCTACTTGTATAGCGTCAACAACTTCGTGGGAAGACAAACATGGGAGTTCGATCCTAACGCTGGCACGCCTCAAGAGCGACAAGAGGTCGACCAAGCTCGTCAAAATTTTTACAACAATCGATTTTACCGCAAGCCCAGTGCTGATCTTCTGTGGCGCATGCAGGTGTATATATATACGTATATATATATATATATGAGAATATTTATTTAAAATCTTAAAAATTGTTCAGTTCTTAAACATTTTTTTTTTTATATCATGTATATATACGTGTCTGTGTTTAACTATATAAAAAACGTATGCATATATGTATGGATATTTATACTTTATCATGAAAAGTGAGGGAGTAGGCTGCATCCTCTCAAACTATTTGTGTTTTCAAATCGAGAAAATTGTATAATATTATATGTTGTTGAATTTTAATAACTTGGTTAGTTGGCTAACAATTAATGCAAGACTTTCGTGGAAAGTAATCAAATTATTAAAAAGATATAGTCAAATTATGAATTAATTAATTACACGTGATGTAATTAATTAATATAAACATAAGTGTTTATATATATATATATATATATATATTTGAAAAAAATTAATTTTTAAATCATCTACAATCACAATAAAATAAAAAAATAAAATTTAACTTAATTCGATAAATATACTTATATTTATAAATAAAAATAAAAAATTATTATTAAATAAGAATATATTATCAATAAAATTATAGATTTATATATAAAAAAATTATAAAAGTTTTTTACCACAAAACTCTTCCAAATATATATAAAATAATCTTCAATATAAATACAAAATATCCTTCCTCCGACAAATATAAATCTTTTAGGATAAATATAAACTACCTCCAAAATAAGATGTCTCTAAAATTAAACCATATCAATATATATATATATATATATTATTTCTGATTATGAGTGGTTTATGTGTATTATTTTGATCGATAAATATATCTGCTTTTTTCTTAACTAAAAAATAATAAAATAAAATTTCAGTTCTTGAGGGAGAAAAATTTCGAGCAAAAAATTCCTCAGGTGAAAGTTGAGGATGGAGGAGAAATTACAGAGGAAACAGTGACAACAACTTTGAGGAGGGCTGTTCATTTCTTCTCAGCCTTGCAAGCAAGCGATGGCCATTGGCCTGCTGAGAGTGCTGGCGCATTGTTTTTTCTCCCACCTCTGGTCACACTTGCTCTAAAATTTCTTGTTTTATACAATTAATTACACATATTCTATTTAATTCATTTACAGGAATTAATGGAGAATTTTTTTTATTGATATTTTCTTGAAAATTTTAGGTGATGTCTCTATATATTACTGGGCATCTTGATACTGTGTTCTCTCCTGAACATCGTAAAGAAATTTTTCGTTATATTTACAATCATCAGGTATGTATATATTATTTTAATATTTTGAGTATAAATATTATTCCAAAATATATATGTACATGAAGTGAGAGCATTATACCATCGACCTTAAATGTTTTAATTTACTATTCAACTAAGATTTAAATTATGATTTTTTTAAAAGCTAATTTTCTGAATATATTGAGAACCATGAAGCAAATTCAACTGTAGATTTGAAACATAGTTCACAAATAAAAATTATTGATACTTATAAATAATTTTTTAGAAAGAAGAATTAAAGCAATCTATTCAAATATTAAAATAAAAAAAAAAAAAAAAAAAATTCATTTTTGAAGAAAATTGTTTCTAAAATTAAATAAAAATATATTATTTAAATATTGATTATAATTAATTATATCTAAATAAATCATAAAAATTGTATAATTTACTAATCATATTTTAAAGATTTATACATACGGTTTATAATTAATTAATTAAAAAAATTATTTAATCAAAGTACAAATTAAAATCATGAATCATTAAAATAAATTTGTAACAACAGAACAAAGATGGTGGATGGGGATTACACATAGAAGGGCATAGCATCATGTTCAGCACAGTCCTCAACTACGTATGCATGCGTATTCTTGGAGAAAGAAGAGATGGTGGAGAAGACGATGCATGTAGTAGAGCTCGTAGTTGGATTCTTGATCACGGCAGTGCAACTCATATACCATCTTGGGGAAAGACTTGGCTTTCGGTAATAAAATTAATTAAAAATAAATTTATATATATAAATATATACTCATTTTTAATAATTATTACTAATTTTTGTAGATACTCGGTGTATTTGATTGGAGTGGGTGCAATCCAATGCCGCCCGAATTTTGGCTCCTTCCATCTTTTCTTCCTGTCCATCCAGGTTACATATACACTTATACATACATACATACATATATATATATAAAAATATATTTAAGTAAAATACATGTATATATACTGGGTGAATCAAATATTAATATAATATATAAATAACAATTTTCAGCTAAAATGTGGTGCTATTGTCGGCTGGTATATATGCCCATGTCATATCTATATGGAAAAAGGTTTGTTGGTTCTATAACTCCTCTTATTCTAGAGTTAAGAGAGGAGCTCTACTGCCAGCCTTATCATCAAATTAATTGGAGGAGAGCACGTCATTTGTGTGCCAAGGTAAAACTTGTATTATTATTTTTGGATCAAATTTTTTTTATGGATTTGAGACTAAATTCCTTTTTGATTCAGTGGAAGACAAGCTACATATATTATGAATGGGGGGGGGGGGGGAGGAGTCTTAGAGAGAAAATGATTTGGCAAAACTAAATCTGACTAGATATTATTTTTTGTTTAAAGCTCAGGGTGTTTTCATATGTTATGAATAGAAGATTTATGTTTTGTTTAATGACCCGATTAGTTTTGGGTAAACTGCTGTTTGATTTGATGAAAATAAATTGAACTAAACATTATTTTCCATTTAGCATTTAGGGTATTTTGAAATCAAAAGACAAGCATACATGTCATAACTAGATGATTCATCATTAATTTTTGTTTAACAATCATAGTATTTTCAGCTCTCTTTTTTACATAACGAGACTAAATTATTATTGGTTTAGTAAAAATAATAATACATATATAATTAAGTATTTGCTAATCAGTTTTTGTGTACTCAGATTAACTTCTTCCCTTGATTTAGTTAAGAGTAAGATCATATTCTTGTGACAAATTATTATGGATAATGTAGGAAGATGTATATTATCCTCATCCTTTACTACAAGACTTGATTTGGGACACTTTTTATTTTTTTAGCGAGCCTTTTTTTACCCGTTGGCCTCTAAGTAAACTAATAAGAAAAAAAGCTCTTCAAGTTACCATGAAACACATTCACTATGAAGATGAAAACAGTCGATACATCACCATCGGCTGTGTTGAAAAGGTTTTATGCATGCTTGCTTGTTGGGTTGAAGATCCACTTGGAGATTATTTTAAGAAACATCTTGCAAGAATCCCTGATTATTTATGGGTAGCTGAGGATGGAATGAAGATGCAGGTACGTGATTATATAAAATTTCTGGTCCTTATATACATAATAGATAATAAATATGCATGTGTTTTCAATAATAATATTATCAAATATTGATTCACCTTAACTATTTATAATATATATGTATTTCCTATATGTATATATGTATGCAGGGCATTGAGAGCCAATCATGGGATGCTGGTTTATCTATGCAAGCTTTGCTTGCAAGTAATTTGGAACATGAAATTCCGGATATAATCAAGAGAGGATATGATTTTTTAAAAAAATCTCAGGTCTAATATTGATTCAAAGAACTATATATATATCTCTTCATATAAAGATATTATATTATTATTATTATTAAAATATTATCTAAAAATTTTGAAGGTGAAAGAAAATCCTTTGGGCGATTTTAAGAATATGTATCGTCATATTTCTAAAGGATCATGGACATTTTCTGATCAAGATCATGGTTGGCAAGTTTCTGATTGCACTGCAGAGGCCTTAACAGTAAGCTACTAATTTTCCATCATTACGATTTCAGCTCTTCAAATACTTTAATATATTTACAGATCAATTAATTAAATATTGAGTAGGAATAACATACAAAATCTGAACTGGCATTGAATATGGGATAAATTCACTAAATGTATTTATCGATTGAGTATCTAGTAAAACCAATCCAAATTATGTATATACTATACATATATACATCACATATATTATATATTTAACAATATATCATCTTACATACGAATACTAAGTTGAAATGTGTATATTTTATATATAACTGAATATGGTTTGAATGAGTTTTTTATTTTTAATTCAAAACCGAAATTAT